AACAAGAGGAAAAGTTCAAGGATGGATGGACAATGTAGGAAGACAAGCAGGAAACTATTATAACAAAGCAAATGACTACTATAACCAAGCAGGACACTATATGGACCAAAGGTGAAAGATTCTTTAACAGAGGATATAACCATGCACAACAGTGGGTAAACAATAACCAACCTCAACCGCCTCAAACGTGGGGAATGTAAAATTTTTTACTGAGATGAAATGAACAATACAGCATTGAGACAAATGGGTTCAAGATGGATTTGTCGGCTTCCAGCAGTTACACCACCACGTGTTTGTCAAGTTCTTCCTATACCTCAGGAAGTTTTAGACCGACTTAAAAAACCTAAACAACCAGTTGAAAACAAACCAAACTAAAATTTTTTACTGAGATGAAATGACCGAAGAAGTTGAAACGGTAGATTTGACACCACAAACAAAAAGTTCAGAACCATTGTCAAAACCTGTCAAAGAACTTACAGATGAAGAGAAAAATTCAATAATAGAAAGTGCCAGGTCTGGAAATACAAACCCTAACTACAAAGTCACTTTTCATAAAAATGGAACGGCTAGTATCTCAAAAAAGAAACAGACTCTCACAAATAAAATATTGAAGTCTGAAGGAGCTTTCGAGACACACAGATGGAAAAGTTTACTTCACTGACCAACAGTTCATTATAGAACATCTCATTGACTTAGAGTCGAAATATTCTAAACTTTACAACAAACACAAAAAGTTGAAAGGAAAACAAAACAAATGGCATATGATATTTATGAAGATGTTGACGACACAACTGTTCCTGCAGTTGAGGTAAAGTCAAAGGAACCGAAAAGTGACGAAAAACCGATAGAGAAGAGAAACCAAAAACTGAAGATAAACCAAAACCAAAGTTTAGTTTCCAAACTAAACCAAGTCAACCTTCATTAGCTGGTATGGGTTGGCGTCAAAGACTTATGGCAGCAGGTGGTTATGTTAAGTAAAGAAAAAAATATTTTTTTATTTTTATAAAAATGCCCCCATATAGAATGGACAGAAAGTCTGCTAGAATAAAAGCAGAGTTGCAAAGATATGGTTGGAGAGTTTCGAAGAAGTTTAAATATAGGAAGGGAAGACCCATAAAAGTCTATGACAAATTGTCTGGTCTTCGCTACGAAATGGATTTGGAAACAGCACGTGCCAATTATCCAAACAGACTAGAGAGGTTAGAAGAAGAACGTCTTATGGACATGCCTTTCGATGTTAGTGAACCTCAAGTTGAAGGACACGACGGCTTTGCCAGATTCTACTGGAAACATGACGAACAATTGCATCCTTTGAGAAGGAAAAAAGGAAAAGGTGAAGACGCACATGCCCCCATGGAAAGAACAAGATATGCATATGAAAAGTATCGTGAAGTTAGAAGTAAAATTACTTCTGGTCGAACCTTTACAGTAAACTTTGAAGAAGGAAAGAACAAAGAAGGCTTCATGGGAGTACTTGCTGCCATACAAGACGGAAATAAGAAAGGATACAATCTCAGACTAACCGTAACAGATTTAGATGGTCATATATACTACTCACATGGCAATGTCACAACAGCTGCAATGCTTCTTGACGCTTTCAAGACTACAAAGAGAGAACAAATGTTTGACTCCGACTCAGACATTTTGAATGCAATTGAAGGAATTGCAAGTGTCAAGTTCGAATGGTACCAACCTAACCCTCAAGCAGTCAGACAACATGCTGGATACTTCCCGTTCAGAAATAAGTCTGACATTGACTTGACAAGGTATGGAATTTACAATTCAATTGAACAATTGTCAATGAACCTTGTATTCTTACATGTCTCAGGAACTCTGGTCTTGTTACAGATGAGAAAATGAAGTATCTTGAGTCATGTGTGAAGACAAGGTACATTCTCAGAGGTCAATTGGCAAAAATTGCACCGTTGGCAAATGTCAAATCCGAGTCAACATACCTACAGCTAAAGGTTCTTCACATGACGACTATGTTGTTGACAAAGACTTACCATGGTTGAAGATTGTAATTGTCCACAACCACTTCATGTTGAACGAAGTCTTACAAACCCATTGTTCGGAAAAGGCAAGTGCAACATTGTCAGAGCTGTAAACATTCTTTTCGAGAAAGGTTTGTTGGAACCAATTCCAGATGACAAGCTGACAGAAACTTTTGTACCAAAAGACGAAACAAACTTTTCACTGTTAGCAAGACCAAAAGTTGTTCCAGACAAAGTTCTAGTACAAAAGAAGTACACAATTCCACAAGGAGTTGGTTTGTTCGGATACCAACCTGAACCAGAAGAACTTCCAATGAGGTGCAAAGAACTTCAAGATGCTATAAACAAACTTCCATTGAGACATCCAATTGACGTCAAATTGTATTGGAGAGCATCTGAGTTAGGTCAGCAAGGTTTTATATGAAACAGGTTGCTTCGACGATGTTTATGAGATAACAGGAGAATTTCTCAGAAGATAAGAGACTCACTTGAATTTCCACAAACTGGACCAATTGGTTGCGACAAGTTCGACTCAAACGAAAAGATATACTATGTCGACCTTAACGCTGCGTACATGAGGTTTGTCCAATATATTCCGACTGGATTCCAAACGAAGATGGTGAGTTCCCGGGAAGGAACTATACAGTTGGAAAAGTCATACAACAACTGTATGATATTAGGAAAGCTTCAAACCCCAAACTTGCAATGACACTCAAATTGCTTATGAATTCGACATGGGGATATTCCATTAAGAAACCTCAAGCGATGAAGAGTAAACATTATGAGAAGGTCGACAACTTTGTTGAAAGGTTTTCTCCTTTTGTTTTGAAGTACGAATTTACTCAAGGTCAAAATGGCTTAGTAACCACATTAAAACCTATTGTCGAACATTGGTCTTACCCTCAGTTCGCAAAGGCAGTCCTTGACAACTACAACAAATTCTTCTCCGAAGTCAAATCCAAAGTGAAGGTTTACTATGAGAACATTGACGCACTCATGACGAACGAAGAAGGATACAACAAACTCATTGAAATGGGAATGGTCGGTGAAAAGATGGGCTGTTTTAAGCTAAATAAGGTATTTTCCGAAGTTCATGTCCTCTCCAAGCGTAAGTACTGGGGCATACTTGAAGACGGCACAGAAATAAAACATTGCATGAAATAAAAACGTTTTTCAAAAAAGTGACATTTTTTAAATTTTATTTGAAATGTACGATGAGTTTGTTGGAGAAGACCGTTGGGAAACTTGTTTGTTAGATGAGAAATATGAAATGGCATACCATTTTAAAACAGTATATTTTTACATATATTAAATGCTTCAGGTTGAAAAACAAAGAACAAAAGTAGTAGATACAAAACCGTTAGACTATATCTTTACAAATGCTGGTAGGACTATTTCAGATGAAGAAATTTCATCCCGAGCATACAGGTTTGACTATCCAATTCGTTGGCTTCAAAGTCCTTCAGATGCAAAGGCAATAGGATTTAGAAGAGTTTTGTTTTCAAATAGAACTAACGCGTTTATGTTCGCAGTATATTTTCATGGGCAGTATAAAGGTTCTGATGGTCTAATAGACAAATTTGACGAAATGAAAATCTTTACAATTCGTTCAGACGAAAGTCTTGAAAAAACTCTAAATGACTTTCAAACTCAAATGAACAAATACTACTGGGAATTTCAAGAAAAATACGACTCTTTACTAAATGGAACATACTATCTGAAACTAGAATATGACAAGATGAACTCCACCGTTTCATTTCAAAAGATTGAAATTAACCCTCCAAGAGATACAGAGTTTTTATATTGGGGAGTAGACAAACGTTCTTGGCACAATTTCTTCGGTTACTAAACCAGAACGAACCATTACCACCAGATGGTCCATTTAAATTTATACTTCCACCAGCAGATTTGACAGTTTATAGAAACGTGTTTGACCCTCAAAATGTCATGTGTCATGCAAGTTTCAGTTCAAGCAACAACAGTTTTCTTTGTATTGGTAAGGACTTTTATGACTTTGCTTCTAAATTCTACGAACCACCTAGTAACAGTTTCTCTGACTTTCAGGTTTGGTTCACAACAAATGGTCTGCAGCATATTATACCATTGTACTATGACTTTTATCTCGAATTGTCTTTCATATACAACTACGGAAAAGTGCTGAAAAAGTATTGAAAAACGAGTTTTGGTTGAAAAAAGAGGTGGAGCCAAAAGTGGCTCGACCTCAAAACAAGCATTTTGTGAAGAATATACCAATCGCCGGAATTCCGGCGATTGCTTTTTATACAAAATTCAACAGGTGAATTTTCATGAATTTCCTTAAGACAGAAAAAAAGTTAGTTAAAATGAGATGTTTACTGAACTGGTTGGATGTCGCCTTCTGAAGTTATGTAGAACGGCTGACCCGAGAAGTGGAACAGTGCTCTGAGAATTTGTATAATTCGTGGAATTGGACTCTCTCTGTTTGGAAGTTGTATCCATGGGCGCTTTGCAAAGAACTTGAGAAGAGCTTCTTTCTTCATCTCCTTTATGTCGTCTACAGGAGTGTTTTCTGGTATTTGAATTGGAATTCCGGTTTCAATTTCGATTTTCAGCGCACCTCTTCCAGACAACCAGAAGCCGAGGGACTTGTTGGCTTTGTCCTTGCCCAAATACTGCTTAACAACTTCATTTATCTCTATAAGGTAAATTGCCTCATCTAATGGCTCGATGCTGTCCATTGTTCTGTTTCAGAACTAGTCTTGTACTTTTTCAGAACAATACTTGTACTGTTTCAGAACTAGTCTTGTACTTTTTCAGAACTAGTCTTGTACTTTTTCAGAACAAATTTCCCGTAAAAGCTCTCAATTTGTGAGAAAAATTTTCTGTTTCAGAACAAGTCTTGTACTGTTTCAGAACAAGTCTTGTACTGTTTCAGAACAATATTTGTACTGTTTCAGAACAAGACTTGCACTGCTTCAGAACAAGACTTGCACTGCTTCAGAACAATATTTGTACTGTTTCAAGACAATGTCCGACGTCCCACCAACCGAGTCCATTCCCAAACCAGAAGAACCTAAAGCACCAGCCCCTGCACCTCAGCAACCACAACAACCTCAGTTCCAGCAAGTACCTCCGAATTACTACCAATTTCCACCTCAAGGTTACTACCCACCACAAGGCTTCCCGAACTACCCTCCTCAGCCTATGCCTTACTTCCCCAACCCTTGGATGTTCCAGCAAGCTCCACCCCAGCAATTCCAATTCCAATCTCAATCGAAGAGAGACCAAGACTTCGAAGAAGGTCTGAACCGCTTACGCAAAGAGTATGCTACAGCTCCAATTGAGAGAAAGTTGTTCCCGGACCAAAAAATATATTTTAGGTGAAGTGGTGAGATCTCACCTGTTTTCTCACCTCTTTTTTCACCCGTTGAATTTTCATGAATTTTATACAGAATTCGGCAAAAATATATTTTAGGTGAAGAGGTGAGATCTCACCTGTTTTCTCACCTCTTTTTTCACCCGTTGAATTTTCATGAATTTCCTTAAGATAAAAAATATATTTTAGTTTTTTTTAAAAAAATATTTTTTATTTTTATTGTAAGAACATGTTAGCAACAACAGCACCAAACTCGTTAGTCATGAACCCAACTTCAATGTTAGTAGAAATGAAAAGCTTCATTCCTTCTTCATATACTTTCGAAACAGAAATCCAGAAGATAAAGCAAGAACTTCTCCAAGGAGATTTAGATTGCACTGCAAAAGATGAAACAAATGAACAGTATCTTTATGAAATGCAGGATATTATTGACCATCTACCTAAACTTCCTGAAATCCAACAACAAAAGCTTACTATTCCAGAATTCGATGAAATAGAAGTCAAAGCAACTGACTCAGTTGAAATTAAGAAGTTCATACGTAAGGTTAACTATGAGTTTCTTGGATTTCATTGCAACCACAAAGTCATTGACATATATAAATCTGAAGAATTTAAGACCTACGACAACTTTGTTTCGTTAGTTGCAAAATGTGTATGGCAGATAAGAGATAAAGATAGAAGAGGTAAAGTATGGAACGGACAAATAAAACCAGCAGCCTTTGAGTTAAAGAAAACCATTTACGCCTTAGTTGTTTTAGCAGGACAAATTTCAATGTACAATGCTAAAATGAACCCACAATGTTCAAAATGTAAAGCAGCAATGAGGAAATATAACTACTCCGTCAAAGAGATAGAACGTATGCGAAACGACTATGCTGACTTAAAGAAAGAAGTAGAGAAACTAGCAGAAGATAAAATGGACATGTTGACATTTCTGAACAAAAACTATCCAACTGCTGACGATTTCCTTCTATCTGACGTCAAGAAGAAATATAAAGAAACATTCGGCATTGTTAAAACTTTTGACATACTGACAGAAGAAATAGAAGCTACAAAAATGTTTAGGATTTCACGAATTCACAATGTTTACCATGTAAAACGCTTGTGAAAAAAGATGTTAGTTGACCGAGTGACCGAGGGACCTGGTGACACCTAAAAACCATCTACCCTAAAATATATTTTTGGGTCATTTACACTCATTTACGATGAAGTCTTGACAAAACATATACGATGAAGTTTTGACAAAACATATACGATGAAATCATGAAAATTCAAGAGGTGAAAAAAGAGGTGAGAAAACAGGTGAGATCTCACCTCTTTATGGCATTCCAAACGGGAACCGCGGTTGGTTACCATGGATTTCCGTCACCGGTCACATTTTAAAGATTTTTAAAGCCTTATAAAAATATGCTTTGTAAATCATTTTTTGTAAATCGGCAAAAATTTGGTAATTTTCTTCAACTAATAAATCTGCGAATAGCATTTATAATACAAGAACAATCTTTTAAAATGCGTTTGATTCATTTTTGTATAATTTCATATAGGCACATATATTCTTCCGGGACTTTCCGTGATTTTACCGTAAAATCATTAGTTTACACCAATTTTTCCGTATTTTGAATAGTTTACTGCACTTTTTCCGTAAAATTGAGTTACGGGAATCCGCAAAATTTCCGGACCTCATTTTTCATAGAATATAATAATAATATTTGATAAAAAGATATATTATTTATATTTTTGATTTTTGAATTACGGAAAAAGTGAATTGTTAACTTGATTTTTTTATATGGTTAATTTTTCAAATGATATTATGAAGATCTAAAATATTAAAAGTAAAAAATTGAATTACGGAAAAAGTGAGGTCAAAAGTGAAATAAATTTGCAGAACAATTTTCATTGAAATAAGACATTGAGTATCACACTTTAGTGAATCAACATCTATAAGAATGAAGTGTTTTGAAGCTGAAATAATATTGAATAGAAATTAATTTTTTCTGAAATTTTGAATGAAATTATGGGAAATAAAAAAATTACTAAATATTGTATTCATACAAATATATTATTTTAAAGGAAAAATAGATGCTGATAGAAACGATGAAAAATTTTGAAAACTTTACAATTAATTTATGTTCGTTAACCACAGAGCTTGCAATCCAAAGCTCACGTTAGACTACAAGAGTCATGAAGTCTCATACTAAGGGATATCCAACATATATTTTAATAATCTAATGTTTGTGACAAATATTCAACATAAAATTAAGTTTTCGTTTCGTTACAAGGCATTCATACTTTGGAGATATCATATTTAATGTACAGAAAAGTTAATATTAAACAATACATGCTAAAGAATTAATAAATAAGATAATAAAATAAATTTATACGTAATTACTTTCATTTAATATGCTTTATGCTGTATAATATTGATTAAGAGGCATTAAAAGGTTCCATAGTCTGCTTTTATAGGCAAGATTTTTGATAAAAATTTAAAATTTTGAAAAATGATGAGAAAAGGAAAAAAAGGTAAATGAGAGCAAGAGGAGGGAAAAAAAAGAAAAAGAAAAGAAAGGGAAGGGAAAAATAAAAGAAAGAAGGACATATAAAAATTTAGATGCGCATTCTTAATGCCGAGGCGGCTTGCCGCCGAGGCGCGATTTTTTTAGGCCTCTACGGTAACCCGGCAATGTTTTTTTAAATCTTGTACAGCCCTACACCTCTTCACCTAAAATATATTTTTGGGTCATTTACACTCATTTACGAAGAAGTCTTGACAAAACATATACGAAGAAGTCTTGACAAAACATTTACGATGAAGTCTTGACAAAACATTTACGAAGAAGTCTTGACAAAACATTTACGAAGAAGTTTATTTCCTGTGTTGTTGTCAAAATGTCATGTTGTCACCATTTTCAAAAAGATGTTAGTTGACCGAGGGACCGAGGGACCGAGGGACCTGGTGACACCTAAAAACCATCTAACCTAAAATATATTTTTGCCGAAAAAAATGACCAAAAATCATGATATAACTGTATTTTTTTGACGAAGAGAACTTTGACACTTCGTAAAAAAAATCCCTGAAATCGTGAAAAAATGACCAAATTTCATGATATAACTGTATTTTTTTGACGAAGAGAACTTTGACACTTCGTAAAAAAAATCCCTGAAATCGTGAAAAAATGACCAAAAATCATGATATAACTATATTTTTTTGACGAAGAGAACTTTGACACTTCGTAAAAAAAATCCCTGAAATCGTGAAAAAATGACCAAAAATCATGAATTTCCTCATATGTTTGCTACCCTCGAAAAACTGAGGATAGAGATTCCGTACGAAAATCGTGAAAAAACTCATGAAAATCGTGAAAAATTGCGAGTACGTAAAAAATCTTACTCGCCAAAACTCTATGAAAATCGTAAAAAAACTCTATGAAAATCGTGAAAAAATGCGAGTAAGTAAAAAAACGTAGTCGCCTAAAACTCATGAAAATCGTGAAAAAATGCGACCCCGATTTTTTCCGGGGTCGCCAAAACTCATGAAAATCGTGAAAAATTGCGAGTAGGTAAAAAAACCTGGTCGCCAAAACTCTATGAAAATCGTGAAAAAATGACCAAATTTCATGATATAACTGTATTTTTTTTACGAAGAGAACTTTTACACTTCGTAAAAAAAATCCCTGAAATCATATCTTTTATACAAAATAAAAAAAGTTAGTTTTATTTTTTTTTATTTTTTTATTTTGTATGTAAGAACAGAAAATGACAAACATTGAGTTTGAAACAGTTAAAAAGATAGACAATGACACCAAAATGGTTAGAATTGGTGATTTAAACGTAAGATACTCAAAGAAATACAACAAATATTCTTTGTCAGACATTCTAACACTATCCGGAAAGAGAGCAAAGGACTGGGTTAGAAATGCTTCAACTCAGAAAATTTTGACAAGAAATCCTGAGCTTTTGATATCGGTAAGATTCTATGGAACTACAGCATATCTCATTGACAAAAGTCTTATACCAGTAGTTTTGTTATGGTTAGACCCAGTTGTTGGATATAACTTCATAACATATGGTTCATTCGATACGGAACGTTGCAGTGAAGGCTTACTTTACATCGTTCAGAAACCGAAGGACTTCAACACAAAGAGATATAAGATAGGAAGAACATATAATATAACTAAAAGATATGACAGTATAGTCAATAGAGTCAAGGTTGTGTTTGTGAATGATATGAGAGCTGCTGAAACAGAACTACTTGAAAAGTTTGAGAAAATGTATGGTGCTCCCACGAAAGGTAAAGAAACGTTTGAAGTAGATGAGATAGATAGTGCTATAAAATTATTTGACGAAGTTGCTGAAAAATACATGTAAAGCGTTTATTTTTCAAGCTTGACTTCAGATGGCTCAGGTAGCTCTATAAGGTAAATTGTCTTGTCAAATCCTTCTGGCATTCCGAGTCCTTCCTTCTGGCATTCCGAGTCCTTCCTTCCGACATTCCGAGTCCTTCCTTCTGGCATTCCGAGTCCTTCCTTCCGACATTCCGAGTCCTTCCTTCCGACATTCCGAGTCCTTCCTTCTGGCATTCCGAGTCCTTCCTTCCGACAGGAAAAAAATTTCCTGACAACTGGAAGAACTCTTCCTTCCGGAAGGAAAAAAATTTCCTGACAACTGGAAAAAAATTTCCTGTTGTTCGTCCGTAAACCATTCAAATTTTCGAAAATTGAGAACTTTTTGGTCGAACTTCAGAAAAAGTTTTTCCTTCCGACAGAAAAAGTTTTTCCTTCCGACAGGAAAAAAATTTCTTGACAACTGGAAGAACTCTTCCTTCCGACAGGAAAAAAATTTCTTGACAACTGGAAGAACTCTTCCTTCCGACAGGACACAAACGAATGTCCGACGTACCACCAACCGAGTCCATTCCAAAGCCAGAAGAACCGACAGCCCCAGCACCACAACAGACTAAGACTAAAACACTTACATTTTCAAGCTTGACTTTTTACAATTTGAACTTTGTTTGCGTAGATATGAATTCTGAAAGAAGTATGAGGGTCTTGTATGACTTTGTACTTCTCCCATAGTTCATGTCTGTCAAACTTACCTGCCATGGACCCTTTCATAAGTTCCATGAAATCGTCTTCGGACAATCCGGGGAAAAGTATAATATCAGTAAGTATTCTCTTTACATCCTTACTTAAACTCTTGGCTGTCTGTACACAAATGACAACTGAAATGTTAAAGTGTCTGAGCTTCTTAAGAATTCGACACATGTCTTGTTCTCTATTCTTTAACAAAGGATGAGAGGCGAAATCATCTAAGATAAGAAGACATCTGTGAGGGTAAGTCTTCCAATCGTAAGATTGCAATTTCTTCGAAATGTATTCTATCTCTTTCTGTTTGTTTCTGAATGTTTCTTCTCTAATATTCTCTGCATTTCCTCATTTGGGTCTTTAAACTTCGAATTGACATACTCATTTATAGCATTATACTTCAAAACTCTTCTTTGGTACTTCTTTATCCAATCTAACAACTCAGTATCCTTTATACATACTAACTTAGACTTCTTTATAATATCTTTGAACGAATTGACGGTTTGGTCAAATTGACCCGAAGTACTACAAATGACTACTAACTCATAGAATGGGTTCTTCTCATCTAGTTCTTGTTGTTGTGCAGCCATTTTAAGATAAGTGAAAGTCTTACCAGACCCAGGTGGTGCAATTAGACCTGTTATACCATTCTGAGCAAATAAGAACTTGTCATGTATGGGTTTTATCTGAGCATTTTCTAACTTCCTCTTGTTCTTGTTTAAAACATTCTCAAATTTCTTGTCAATGTCAGCAAACTTTTTTTCTAAACATATTTTTAGAAAATTAAAATTTTTATCTTTTAGAAAATGTCTAGCGATTTCGCTATCTATATTCGAGACAAGCTTTTCGACAGCAAAACATCTGTCGACCATAAAATCTTACATAGTGTAAACAAGAAAGGGGAATTTGTTCTAAAGTTCTGTTTCTGGGAATATGACAAGAACCATAAAACATTAAGCAGAGCAGTCTTAAAATTTGTCAATGACAGACTTGTTGACAGAGATGACGCCTCTTGGAGAGATGAAGT